GCCAGGCTGGTCTCCAGCTCCTGGCTTCAAGTGATCTGCTTGCCTTGGTCTCCCAAAGTATTCAGATTATAGGTATGAGCCACTGTGCCTGGCCCTTATTTCCTTCAATTTACTCTTTGTTTAATTTTTCTTCTTAAGGTAGAAACTAAGATCATTGAATTTAACCTTCTTTTCCAATATAAGCTTTTTTTTTTTTTTTTTTTTTTTTTGAAATGGAGTCTCGCTCTGTCACCAGGCTGGTGTGCAGTGGCGCGATCTTGGCTCACTGCAACCTCTGCCTCCCGGGTGCAACGGTTCTCCTGCCTCAGCCTCCTGAACATGTATATATATAAATAGGGACGTCTCATCAGAAACAATGAAGGATGTAGACAATTTAAAGTGCTGAAAGGAAAAATAATTGCCAACCAAAAATTCTATATCTAGGCCAGGTGTGGTGGCTTACACCTGTAATCCCAGCACTTTGGGAGGCTAAGGCAGGTGGATCACCTGAGGTCAGGAGTTTGAGACCAGCCTGGGCAACATGGTGAAACCCTATCTCTACTGAAAATACAAATACACACACACACACACACACACACACACACACACGATATATATAAATATATATATACACAGAAAAAATATATACAGGGAGGATACATTGTAAAACAACGTATATATATTTTGTTTGTTTTTTATTTTTCTTGTGTCCCTGTATACAGTGCATCAATTTTTTTCTGTTTTTCTTCTTAAACAGGTTGAGCATTCCTAATCCAAAATCTAAAATGGTCCAAAATTGGAAACTTTTTTTTTTTTTTACTTTTGTCATTTTATTTTTATTTATTTATTTATTTTTCCCATTTATTTTATTGCATTTTAGGTTTTGGGGTACATGTGAAGAACATGCAAGATTGTTGCATAGGTACACACGTGGCAGTGTGATTTGCTGCCTTCCTCCTCATCACCTACATCTGGCATCTCTCCCCTTGCTATCTCTCCCCAGCTCCCCACCCCCCACCGTCCCTCCCCTATTTCCCCACGACTGAACCTAGTGTGTAGGGCTCCCCTCCCTGTGTCCATGTGTTCTCGTTGTTCAACACCCGCCTATGAGTGAGAACATGCGGTGTTTGATCTTATGCTCTTCTGTCAGTTTGCTGAGAATGATGTTTCCAGGTTCATCCATGTCCCTGCAAAGGACACAAACTCATCGTTTTTCATGGGTGTATAATATTCCATGGTGTATATGTGCCACATTTTCCCTGTCCAGTCTATCATCAATGGGCATTTGGGTTTTTTTTTGTTTTGTGGTTTTTTTTTTTGAGACAGAGTCTCGCTCTTGTTGCTCAAGCAGGAGTGCAATGGCACGATCTTGGCTCACTGCAACCTCTGGCTTCTGGGTTCAAGCGATTCTCCTGCCTCAGCCTCCCGAGTAGCTGGGATTATAAGCACCCACCACCATGCCCAGCTAATTTTTGAATTTTTAGTAGTGATGGGGTTTCAACATGTTGGTCAGGCTGGTCTCCAACTCCTGACTTCAGGTGATTCACCCACCCCAGCCTCCCAAAGTGTTGAGATTACAGGCGTGAGCCACTACTCCCAGCCTATTTGGGGTTTTTAACAATCTTTTTCTCAAGGTTTTTCAGATGGAGAATGTATATTAATTTGTCTTTGAGTTAATTTACTCATTCTTTACAGTGTTGTGATTACAGGCTTGAGCCACCGCGCCCGGTTTTTTTTTTTTTTTTTTTGAGGCAGAGTCTTGCTCTGTTGCCAGGTGCCAAGCTGGAATGTAGTGGCTTGATCTCGGCTCACTGCAACCTCTGCCTCCTGGGTTCAAGCAGTTCTCCTGCCTCAGCCTCCTGAGTAGCTGGGATTACAGGTGTGCACTACCACACCCAATCACTAATTTTGGTATTTTTAGTAGAGATAGGGTTTCACCATGTTGGCTGGGATGGTCTCGATCTCTTGACCTTGTAATCCGCCCACCTTGGCCTCCCAAAGTGCTGGGATTACAGGCGTGAGCCACCGCGCCCGGCCAATTTACTCATTCTTTTGCCATCATTGCCTTCTGTTACGCCCATTCACATAGTTGTTTGTTTAAGAGACGGGGTCTCACTGTGTTGCCCAAGCTGATCTCAAATTCCTGGGATCAAGCAATCCTTCCATTTCAGCCCCCTAAGTAGCTGAAACTACAGGTGCAAGCCATTATGGCTGGGTCAGATAATTTTTATTTTTGATACTGTAATTTTCTATTGTAGAATATCTTTTCCTTATAGTTTTTATTTGTCTGCAGACATCTCCCTTGTATTCATTCATTATGACCATCTCTTCCTTTTAGCCCTTCAACATATTTATAATAGCTCCTGTAAAGTCATTGTCTGCTAATTCCAGCATATTGGTAATCTCAATATGCAGTCTGTTTCTGCTGATTTCATTTTCTCTTGTCTGTGAGTCACATTTTTTCTCTTCTCACATTTTGTAATTTTTAATTAAAAATTTTTTTCTTCAAATCCCCTCTTGTGAGAAGCAATTGTAATTTTTTTTTTTTTTTCAGATGGAATCTTGTTCTGTCGCCCAGGTTGGAGTGCCGTGATGCAGTCTCAGCTCACTGCAACCTCTGCTTCCCAGGTTCAAGCAGTTTTCCTGTTTCAGCCTCTGGAGTAGCTGGGACTGCAGGTGCCAGCCACTATGTCCAGCTAATTTTTGTATTTGTTTTTAGTAAGGGTGGGGTTTCACCATGTTGGTCAGGCTGGTCTTGAACTCCTGACCTCAGGTGATCCACCTAGCCCTCCTTGGCCTCCTAAAGTGCTAGGATTACAGGCATGAGCCACCATGCCTGGCTAAGCAATTGTAATTTTTTTTTTTTTTGAGACGGAGTTTCACTCATGTTACCCAGGCTGGAGTGCAATGGCGCGATCTCGGCTCACTGCAACCTCTGCCTCCTGGGTTCAGGCAATTCTCCTGCCTCAGCCTCCTGAGTAGCTGGGATTACAGGCACGCACCACCATGCCCAGCTAATTTTTTGTATTTTTAGTAGAGACGGGGTTTCACCATGTTGACCAGGATGGTCTCAATCTCTTGACCTCGTGATCCACCCGCCTCGGCCTCCCAGAGTGCTGGGATTACAGGCTTAAGCCACTGTGCCCGGCCAGCAATTGTAATTTTAAAATTATATTCTGGACCTGTGGATGACACGTTACAGAGATTCTGAATTTTGTTACCTTTCTCTGGAGAATATTGATTTTTTTTTTTTTTTCTATTAGCTAGTTAAGTTTCATGTTGAAGCTGGGTTTTGAACTTTGTTAAGGCAGGTCTGTTTCAGTGTTGCCATTAGGTCTTAGGGTAAAATCTTTAGCCCTGGGAAATAATCTTACCTCCTAACTTGGTACGATTGAAATTTCAAATTCTGTCTCTTTTTGGTGAGTTGCACTGAAGGTTCTTCTTAGCTTCTCAGCCTTCTAGGTGTTGCCTGCTGCTAGTCTTATTGGAACGTTATTGGAAACTACAAATATTGTGTTTAGGGGTCTTAAGGACTTGAGGATAGTTTATACAATTGGGGGGCTCCCCACTCATATTCTTTGCTTTCTGGGCTATCCTTCTCAATGTACTGCTATTCTGTCAACCCTGGACTCCATAACTGTAAGTTGCCCCATGCTGCTCAAACTGGTTAGTACCCTCAATGGGAAATCTGTTTAAACACAGATGTAACACAATGTGACTCTCTTCTTTCGAGAATCCCCTCTAGTTTCTTCCTGCTTTTCATTGCCCCTCAAAACCTTCAAATAGTTGCTTTTTCATATTTTTGTCAAGGGTTTATAGTTGTTACCTGCAGGAAGGTTAGCACAATATAAACTATTTAGACATTGCTGGACCAAAATCTGTTTTTCTTATAGAATTGGGGAACATTACTGGGAATGATTTCAGCTAAATATCTATTAGCTTAAAATGTAGCCTTTTTTTGGCTGGGTGTGGTGGCTCACGCCTATAATCCCAGCACTTTGGGAGGCCGAGGCGGGTGGATCACGAGGTCAAGAGATCTAAACCATCCTGGTCAACGTGGTGAAACCCCGTCTCTGCTAAAAATACAAAAATGAGCTGGGCATGGTGGCGCACGCCTGTAGTCCCAGCTACTCGGGAGGCTGAGGCAGGAGAATTGCTTGAACCCAGGAGGCGAAGCTTGCCGTGAGCCAAGATCGAGCCATTGCACTCCAGCCTAGGTAACGAGCGAAACTCCGTCTCAAAAGAAAAAAAAAATGTAGCATTTTTAGTGGATTAATAGCCAAGTAAAACAGCAGTTTTCATTTTTATTTTTCTCTGAATTTGGCTGAGTAAAATTTTAGAATATGATCTAACAGAAGTAGTTAATTGCCATTTTCCATGTTATCTGCATTTTTAAAAAGTTGTGTTTATAATATAAGAACCACAAAAGCACTTTTAATCCTCCTGGCTGGATGCTGCGGGAAGAATATGGAAACATTCCATGGAGTCAAAATGGGAAATGAGAATGAGATGAGATGTTGCTGTTTGTCAGTAATACCACTGGTCTTTTCAGTTTTCCTAGTTAAATGGAAATCTAATTTTAAATATGACAAGTAAACAGGAAAAAATTATTTTCTCCTATGAGCCAATCTCAGGAAAAAAAAAATGGACATTTGAAGTGCAAATTAGTCCACATGCATAGCTTCCCAGGCAGCCACTTAGGGGTAATAGAACCTAGGTACAGCCATATCTCCCTGGCTTATGGGGCCTGGCATAGCAGATCCATTTCTCCAGTGTCCTCTACCCTATTTTGCCATTGGCTCAGTTCATAACCTTAGATAATGAGCCTCAACTTCCTCAAGTAAACTTCCTTTCTGTCTTAGGCTTTGAAAGTCTATGGTCAAAAAAAAAAAAAAAAGTCTATGGTCAGAAGAGTTTTTCGTTTTCAATTTGAAGACAATCCATTGTATTAAGTAGACTTTAACATACTTAAAACGCAGATTTAATTCTTCATGTGCATGGTTTCTTTTGTTTTGCTTAAGGTTGCAATTGTAGCTCAAGACTTGGCAGCATTCCATACTGCCTCATCAGAAATGGGGCACCAGCAGCATAGCCATCACTTAGTAACCACAGAAACCAGACCTCTGACCTTAGTAGCAACATCCAATGGCACCCAGATTGCAGTTCAGGTGAGTACAAGGGCAGGCTGTCCTCAGTCGACAGCAATGCTGCTCATAGCTTTTAACTTTGTACCCTGTGCTTTGTATATAACCTTCACTGGAGGCAAGGTGCAGAATAATCTCTATCACCTAGCCTACTTTAAGAAAATTGCTGTATTTGAGGTGGACTCAAAGAGACCAGCACTTTGTTCTCTATTCGTCTTTGCATATTCTAGGGGAATTTATAGCAAGAAAAAAAAACCTTCCAAGGCCGGGCGCAGTGGCTCAAGCCTGTAATCCCAGCACTTTGGGAGGCCAAGGCGGGTGGATCACGAGGTCAAGAGATCGAGACCATCCTGGTCAACATGGTGAAACCCCGTCTCTACTAAAAATACAAAAAATTAGCTGGGCATGGTGGCGCGTGCCTGTAATCCCAGCTACTCAGGAGGCTGAGGCAGGAGAATTGCCTGAACCCAGGAGGCGGAGGTTGCGGTGAGCCGAGATCGCGCCATTGCACTCCAGCCTGGGTAACAAGAGCAAAACTCCATCTCAAAAAAAAAAAAAAAAAAAAAAACCTTCCAGGTATATATCTATGTGTGCCCTCAGCCAGGCATCTTTACTTTCAAAATAAAAATTTAATGAGGCAGGAGACTATACAGCACTTAAGAAATATTCCTTAGAGAGAAACCTGGTGGAAACACAAACCCTAAATAAGTCCTCTGAGAATCCCTGCACAGCCCCCATTTTAAAGTGGGGAATGTCAGAAGATTTAGAAGGAATCATTCTTTGGGAAGCACAGAATTTAGAATCTTAGGTGCAGCCAGGCACAGTGGCTCATTCCTATAATCCTAGTATTTTGGGTGGCTGAGGCAGGGTGGTGGCTTAAGCTCAGGAGTTGGAGATTAGCCTGGGCAACATGATGAAAACCCATCTCGGGCCGGGCGCAGTGGCTCATGCCTGTAATCCTAGCACTTTGGGAGGCTGAGGTGGGTGGATCACCTGAGGTCAGGAGTTCAAGACCAGCCTGGCCATCATGGTGAAACCCCATCTTTAAAAAAAAAAAGAAAACCCATCTCTACAAAAAGCACAAAAATTAGCCAATTGTGGTGGTGGGTGTCTGTAGTACCCAGCTACTTGGGGAGGCTGAGGCAGGAGGATTGCTTGTACTCAGGAGGTTGAGGCTGCAGTGAGCCAAGATCATGCCACTGCACTCCAGCCTGGGTAATAAATGAGACCCCATCTCAAAAAATAAGAGAGACCAGTCTAGGTAGCATGATGAAATGCCATCTCTGCATAAATACAAAAATTAGCCAGGTGTGGTGGTGTGCACCTGTAGTCCCAGCTACTCAGGTGGCTGAGGTGGGAGGATTGCTTGAGCAAGGGAAGTCGAGACTGCAGTGAGCCTAGGATCACACCACTGTACCCCAGCCTGGGCGACAGAGTGAGACCCTGTCTCAAAAGTATAAGAATTTAAAATAAAATAGAATCCTAGGGGCTAGGTGCAGATTACCTGTTCTTAGGGAGAGTTTTTTTTTTCCCCCATGTGTTTACTTGATGAGTTAGAATACATTCCGGAAAATTTTGGCTGTTGGTTTTATATAATTTATGGATATAGAAGGAGCTAAAGGCTCAGGAAGCCCTCTATCTTTCTTGACTGAGGTAAGCGTCTTCTGTCTCTTGCATGTGTGAAGTTTTTTTGTTTTTTGTTTTTTGTTTTAGTTTTTATTTATTTAAAAAGAAATAGAGATAGGGTCTCACTGTGGTATTCAGACTGGTCTTGAACTCCTGGGCTCTAGTGATCCTCCTGCCTCAGCCTCCCAAAGTGCTAAGATTACAGTCATGAGCCACCGTGGCTGGAGTATATGAAGATTTTGTCAAAATCCAAAATAAATTTTAGGATGGGCATGGCAGCCGGGGGGCTGAGGTGATTCTCCCACCTGAGTCTCCCCAGCAGCTGGGACTACAGGTGCATGTGGCCATGCTAATTTTTGTATTTTTTTTTAGTAGAGATGGGGTCTCACCATGTTGCTCGGGCTGGTCTCAAACTCCTGGGCTCAAGCAATCTGCCTGCCTCCACCTCCCAGAATGTTGGATTACAGGCATGGGCCACCATGCCCTGACGAGACCTCTTCATATCACCAGGCTCAGCCGCATCTAGGATTCTAAATTCAAAAAAGAAAAATAAATTGTATTGCATTATCATCCCCTTCAGGAATTTTTTTTTGTGCTTTTAGTGATTGGGTTAGCAGTAGTATCTTAATAACCCCAAGTGTCAGAATTACAAAGAGAAGTTTTACTGCTCTCATAACATTTCCTTGGCATCTTCTTGAATGTGGCTTTTGAGTTGTTAGCGTTTGATGTTTGTGTTCCTGTTTCAGCTTGGAGAACAGCCATCTCTGGAAGAAGCCATCAGAATAGCATCTAGAATCCAGCAAGGAGAAACACCAGGGTTGGATGATTAATCCTCAGAACAATGGAGCAATAAAGCAGGAGTCCTTCATTTTCTGACAACAGAAATCCATGAAGCCCGGGCCCAGGAAAGTTAGAAGTTTTCCATTCCTGATACACTGTACACATTTTTATGCAAGAGTGGAGAAGATTTTATTCTTGACACTTTTGTGTATATAACCCTTGGAATAGATTCTCAAAGTGATTCATTGTGTACAAGGAAGTATGAAATTAGGGCAATAGAGTAAATTTTCATGTTACTCTTTTATCAGATCACAAACTCCTAGAGTCTACATGCAAGAGTAGTAAAGTCTTATGGGAGTCTTATGATGGATTTTTAACTTCCCATGAAAAAAATAAAGGCTGTATCTAAAATGTCAAAGGGTCTATATGTCACACAATCATAATTCCAAAAGCCATTATGGATAATAAAGGATGTAAAGCCTTCAGATATTTCCCCAGTTAGTAGAGTGTCTGCGGATTTTATTCTATATATTTGTCCACTTTTATTTGTATCTTCTGGTTTGCAGACTTTGAATAATTTATAGTTTCCCATCCTTGTTAAAAACCAGCTCTTCAAGCTGAAATGCTAATTATATTGGCATTACATTGGATTATGTATAAAATCATAAAATTTGGTTATTTAAAATTAAGAAGTTAAATCCAGTGGTTTTGTTAAAAGATTTTGCTTAGTATTCAGTTTTTGTAACTGTTTGGGGAAAAAAAAAAAAAAAAGAATTATCAAAGTTTAACCACATGCTGGTGCCCGGGATAACAGTGTTGTAATTGGAAATGGCTTTACTCTGAAAATTAGGTTAGCGGGTTGGTATAAATTATTTATTTTTGCTTATGTACTTTTGTTTTAAAGCTTACTTACCCCAAAGTTTATTATTAATTTTCAATACAGCAATTTTTAAAATGTTACTTTTATATTTATTTATTTATTTGTTAAATTGGTGGGTGTTGTGGGGGGAACGGTGCAGAAAATACCACAAATGTAATGGAGTGTAACCTAATACACATATTGAGTGTATGTTGTATGTCAAGTACAGATAAGTGTTTTTCCATATACTTTTATATATTCACAACAATTTTGTAAGACATGGATTTACTACTCTGTTTTATACATGAGGAAACAGAGTCCAGGGAGGCTGACTGTCATACCAGCCCTTGAGAGGCAGGACCTAAGCGAGAACCTAGACTTTCTGGCTCCAAATCCAATGTATTTTCACTGCACCATGGTTACCTCCTCAGATGCTCATTTGTGGCAGAGATTATCAAGATCTTTGGTGAACTTTGGTGATTTCTGATTGCCTAATGAACTGAGCAGTGGAAAAAAACATTTTCTAATGTTGGAAATTCACCATTCATCAAGGTCAAAAAAAAAAAAGGTCTGTTCTGCAGCAGCTCCTCCTGTACTGTTGTTCACCTCACTTTGTTTGCAGAGAGCTGAAATGTAGTTTTTTCATTTCAAGCTTTACAGTAGAAAGGGGGAAACATTGTGCTGTTTTATTTAACATAAATGTTATCTTTGATCAGGTTCTTCGAACTCTTGCTAAAAAGGATCATGATTTAATCATCTGAAATAGGAAACCCTTCAGGACTGGACAGAGCTTTTCCTTCAAAACCCTTTGTAGATATATAACATTAGCAAAAGCGCTAGTCACCCACAGATCCAGTCTTCATTCTTGACAGAGACACTTAGACACACACAGAACTCCCCCCTGAGGCCCACTGAGACTCAGAAAGGGGCTGGCAGGCTGGGATAGAAGACCAGAATCTTCTAAATCGCAGGGTGGTGCCTAGCTTCCCAGTATTGGTCCTGGCTGCTGGCCAGGAGCTCCTACCCGCTGGACACATCCAGGCTGCTATGCTTCCCAGGACCAAAAACCAAGCTGTCTGCCTCCCATGGGCCCTTAGATCTGACTTTGCTCAGATTCCAGGGTGTTTCTCTTTACTCCCAGCACTTTTGCCAGTTGGATTGGGCAGGGCTCAACCTGGACTGTGGTGAGCCTGATTATCCCTCAGCTCAAAAGAAAGTGACTTCCTACTGGTACCCAGAGAAAAGGGCCCAGGGGCACTGCTGGTTTTCCCTGACCTGCCTTCTTGGGAATGGGGCCTCAGGAGCCTAGTGAGATGGCCTGCCTCCTCTGGAGGATGGCTGCAGCTGGTGTGCTGACAGTTGCTAGGAAAGCTGCTGTGGGGTCTCTTCGTAGTACAGGTTGCAAAAACATCCAAGGTTGCAAAATCCCGAAAAGGCACTTGAAATAGTGAACACTGGCAAACAGAGCCAGGTGGGGCATAACTCTCTGCAATTTGATCCAGACAGTGCTCAAGGAAAACCTCTCCAACCAAAAAAAAACACCCTACTTTGCCCCAGACACAGCTACTACAAAGGCCACTACAAAGAAAATGTTCGTTGCCCGCAGTCTGCACTCCTTGTAAGAACTTAAGAATTAGCGTAAGGGAGGAACGTGGCTTTTTTAATTCTCTACAGGTGGCAGCTGCCCAGAGAGCCAGTTCTCTCCTTCCTCTCCTGCCCACCCCCAGGCCTTCAGGGGCAAACTAACTTTGTACAGTGTCCCGTGCTTGCTGCCTGCCTTCTCACATGACAGCCCTGAGACTAGTGAAGCATCTTGGGGAAATGGTGGACTCTGCTGAAACTGATGACTCCATTTATCAACCCGCAGAATTTACTATCCAGTATTTCCTGGCTCAGTTAAGATTATAGACTAGTCAATTATTGGGAGACCTCAGCAGCGATCGGAGAGCGGGGTGTGAAAAGGAAGGGGGCAGAGCTGAAGTGTTGAAGAGGTAAAGGGAGCATGTGGGAAGTGGAGAAAAGCTGCCTCAGCCTCCTCCATGGTAAGCACTTTCTATACTAGGTTTCCTTTGGATGAGGACGTGTTTAAGGAACACTCCAGCCAAATACTCTCTCTTCTTTTGCCTGAGGAACGGGACTGGCTTCATGAGTGTGGGACTAGTACAGCTTGAGCAAGAACCTCCACTCAGAAGGGCTCTGCATTTGGGGTTTAATACAACATGATTGCAGTCTTCAAATTCTTTTTTTTAGTTATTTTTGAGACAGGGTCTTGCTCTGTCACCTAGGCTGGAGTGCAGTGGCGCAATCAGGGATCACTGCAACCTCCTGGGCTCCAGCGATCCTCCTACCTCAGCCTCCCAAGTAGCTGGGACTACAGGCATTCTCCACCACACCCAGCTAATTTTTGTATTTTTGGTAGAGCTGATGTTTCACCATGTTGACCAGGCTGGTCTCAAATTCCTGACCTCAGGAGATCTTCCGGCCCCAGCTTCCCAAAGGGCTGGTATTACAGGCATGAGCCACTGTGCCCGGCTGCAGTCTTGATGTCTATCTTTGTGTTTTATAAGTGAAGTCCCTTGTATCAACATGTGCTGGGGGCTTAGCACCTGAGCTTACACACAGCTCTGCCTACTCCTGCCTCCCTGAAGGGCTCTCACCACCACTTCCCCACCTGGCCTCTCCCTCCTTGCCCTCACCCTGCAACTGCTGCCACCCTCTACCCTTGGAGGGAGTCTGATCCCAATGCAGGGAGGGTGGGTGCGTGGTGGTGGCCATCCCCACTCCAGGCTGGCAGCACAACAGTGCTCTTGGTGGACAGCCAGCCTTAGTTGAGCCTTGAAAGGGGCAAGACTCTCGCCCAGCCCTTTACTGACAATGTCCCAGCTCTGAGTTTTTTTTTTTTTTTTTTTTTTTTTTTTTGGGACGGAGTTTCGCTCTTGTTACCCAGGCTGGAGTGCAATGGCGCGATCTCGGCTCACCGCAACCTCTGCCTCCCGGGTTCAGGCAATTCTCCTGCCTCAGCCTCCTGAGTAGCTGGGATTACAGGCAGGCACCACCATGCCCAGCTAATTTTTTTTTGTAGTTTTAGTAGAGACGGGGTTTCACCATGTTGACCAGGATGGTCTCGATCTCTTGACCTCGTGATCCACCCGCCTCGGCCTCCCAAAGTGCTGGGATTACAGGCTTGAGCCACTGCGCCCAGCCCAGCTCTGAGTTTTAAAGACACTGGTAGTCCATTTGCTGTAGGCTGCGGTGGCAGGCCTATGGGAAGGGGAGACACCTGGAGGAAAGGGAACCTGGAAGCTGTCAGACCCAAGAGAGCACCTGCCCACACGCATCTGTGAGGTCCCATGCCCTGAAGGGCTCTCTCTACCCACTCTGTGACTGGAGGAATCTTCTCTTCCTCCTTCCAACTTTCCTGAGCCTGGCTTGTGTTTGTTGTGCCTTGGAACCAGCAGGAGATAACCCTCCTGGGATGAGCACAAAATTCGAATTGTGTAATTTTAGTGATTCCAAATATGAGACAAATATTCTGATATTTGCGTTTAAAATTGGGATTGTATAATATAAAAGTGGAGGGTAAAATTCATGCCAAAATTTTAGTAGTTTTTCTTTTTTTGAGACAGAGTTTCACTCCGTTGCCCAGGCTTGAGTGCAATGGCACGATGGTGAAATCTCGGCTCACTGCAACCTTGCCTCCTGGGTTCAAGCGATCCTCCTGCCTCAGCCTCCCGCCATCATGCCCAGTTAATTTTTTGAATTTTTGTAGAGACAGGGTTTCACCATATTGGCCAGGCTGGTCTCGAACTCCTGACCTCAGGTGATCCACCCACCTCAGCCTCTCAAAGTGCTGGGATTACAGGCGTGAACCACCGTGCCCGGCCACCATTCTATTTTCTGTCTCTACAAATTTGACTATTGTAGGCACCTCATATTATATTTGTCTTTTTGTGTCTGGCTTTATATGTACCCTTAAAACATGTTTTTCCTGTCTTTTGACCAAGAGGTCACACATTTTCATTTTGCACAGAGCCCCACAGATTATGTGGCCTGTCCTGCTGAGGAATGCACTTCTATTAGTCACACATCTGCAGATGTGTGACCTGTGTTTTGGGAATATATTATCTCTTGTTAGATGATGGGCTCCTTTAAGACATCTTGTTAGATGACAGGCCCATCCAGGAGTTACCACTTAAAGGAGCCCATCTTGTGAGATGATGGGCTCCTTTAAGTGGTAACTCCTGGAGGCCCGGCAGAGTAGCAGGGCACCTCTAGCTGTTCCCTCCAGCTCCAAACTCATGTGGCTTGAGATATACAGAGAGATTCCTCAGTTCTCCATCCAGGAGTTTCATTTTGCTCCTAGAGCATGGCTAAAATGGAAGGACAGAAAGTCTTGCTGAGAATGAAGAATGCTCAAAATTCAAGATAATTGCATGAATCGTTAAAATTGCCTGGCAAAAGCTTTTTCTGCTCAATTTTCTGCATTCAGATTGTGAAAGAGAAACTGAATCTTGGGACTTAAATTTACTATGCCAAAGGGAAAATTAAGCTTGGGAACTGAGTCATGCAAGCAAACAAACACAAAACAAAACAAAAATGGTCTTTCTTTTCTTACCAAACAGCTGTAATTTCACATGCTTACCATATCATACAAAAAAAGTAGATTGACTAAGCATGAGACTAATGCATAATTGACTTTTCCTCTACCCCCTTCTTTTCATATGTGAAAAGCAGCCTCACTGAACTCTAGGCAGAGCCTCACAAGAATGTAACCATTTGCCTCACTGTCTACCCATCCTCCTTTTTTTTCCTCCCCTCATGCTTGCCCTTTGCTCTGTGAAAGGAAAATAAAAACTTGGGACCCTAATTTCACTATGCCAAAAGAAAAATAT